ACACAAACTCAAAATCAGATCAGTGTTGCCGGAAGTGGCGAATCAGAAACATTCGTGACATCACTCCGTGAACATGAATCGTGCCTTAGCCGCCGGAGACAAACGGCCCAGCGCGGCGGGGTTGGCCCGAACCCCAGCGCTTTCGAGAGAAGATCGCCCCTGAGGAATTATCTCCAAGTGGAGAGTGCTTACAGGCGATGTTACATACCACATCGAAAACCTCTTCCGCTCCGTCGTGTAACACGGTATCCAATACGCGAACAATCGCGTTGGCGAACATCACAGCTTGACGTGAATTGCACCTGAAGAACAACAACAGACATGTCCAAGGGCTAAGGTGCTTTGCTTTACTCATCCAATGAGCCTTTGAAGGTTGATGCCAATGCAAGCCACCAAGTTGCATCACCTACACGGAAATGTCCCGCGCCGAACCTGATGAAATCGAGCTGCAGAGCAGTTGTCGGGAAATCCATCATACGCCGCCAGGCTCGCTTCCTGCAATCCCAAAGTGGAGTTGGAGGCGGCCTTAGCGATAAGTTGAAGGACATGTTGGATCAGATCATCTGCATGAATGTGCGCCTTCGCCCACGAGTAGCTGCAAACAAATAGTCGCACTTATACAACGACAATGGTCAGTTTCCTACAGTATCATAGAGGCTTCACGAGGCGTTAAAACCTCCCTGGCTTCCGTTTGACGCTCCGCGTGAATGAGCCGAATCAGTATCGCTTCGCCGAACGCTGCAAATATCTGAGTAACTTTCCTTGATGCTGTGTAGCTTCAAGTAGACCAACCTCCGGTTCCCTGATGTTAAGGAGAGCCATCGCATGCGTGCATGTAACAATTGATTGCATTCCACGGTCAATCTCAGCTTGTCGCGGTCGCCGGGCTGCGGCCAGTGATAGTGCCTATGTCGAAGTCTGCTGTGAACTGAGATCAATAAGCACTCCCTACAATGCGATTGAGGCCTGGTAACAGCGTTCGATCAATCAACTTCACTCGATTATGCGACATCAAATGATGAGGAATTCTGCTCACACTTGATAACAGCAGCGATACGATACGCAGCGGTGCCTGACAGTCCAAGATAGGCGGGGCGGGTGAAGGGACCTACGTGACTAACAATGTACGTGTGCAGCTGCTCGCCTTCTTCAGTGATACCAGCGATCGCTATCTCAAGCATATCTTCCAGGGAACTCAGAGCTCCGGAAGCTCCTTGATGAGAAACTAGTTCACTGTGAATGCGTGTCGCCCCGGAGAGCATCTGATCCGCACGTAACGAGACAGAGAGATGAACGACTTGTAGTAGTAGTACGAGAGCTATCCCTTGTGGAGTGAGTGTTTGGACTACATCCGAGTCTGACAAATGAAGTTGTTCGCCAATATAAATATAATATTTCCATTACCAGCCATTCTACTGCAAAGCTTCGTTACGGCCTCACACCCCTCCGGACCAGACAAGGATATATTCTTTGCTAAGCAGTTGAACAGTATCGATACTCCCTGGCTCGTTAACGTGTCCGCGATCTCGACCTGAGAGATTTCCCATGATTAACGGAGGGAAGCATGAGATTGGTGAACGAGTTGCGCATAACGGTTCGGGTGTAAAATTGGCGATCAGATATAGCATTGTTTCAAGTGAAATTCTCTCCTATGCTGAGGCGCGTTGCAGACAATGTGAAAAGAACATATCCACATCTGTTCATGACAATGAGAAAACTCCTAGCAAATCTTGGGACCTTCACGAGGTTTATTTTCCAAACATTTATACCGCAAGTAGTATGTGCAAGTAGTGAGAATACTTCCGAGCTCAGCTGATCAAAACAAGTAACATTCCCACATCGACCGCAGCCTAATTGCCATTGTTTACACATCGCGCTAGAACAGCTCTTTGGGCTCCTTCAAGTTCCGGGCTTATCGATTCTGTTCCACACACAGCTGGTGCTACCATCACTAGTTGCTGAGCGTTCATCCCGGGCAGAAGGCGGGTAAGATGCGTGGTGATCACCTGGAAGAAAAGTGCAGAGGCCCCTCTGAGAAACGAAACCTCACAGGGCATTCAGCAAGGTCGACTCCGAACTTGTTGATGCCGTGTACCACTAGGGAGATATTCTGCGCATTGTAATCCTCACATTTCAGCGGCCCGCCTTCCAAGTGTCGGTTGAGTAATTTCCGTATCTGCTATCAACCCAACGTCGTTATCGACTTCTCAGGATTCCCACCAACTCACGAAAATATTGCAGTGACCCTCGCTGTCTCTGCCCTCACTCATACGCCTCTGCAAAGCGTTAACAACGAGAGCGACATCCCTCGGAACCATACGAGAACAGACTATTGCGCCTCGTCCTGAGAGCCCAAGTTTCAGACGTGCTCGAAAACTGTTTTAAACTCGTCTACTTGTGTTTAAACAAAGACTATGAGATTCCAATCAGCGCTCCCACAAAGTTCTCAGGGAAAGTAGGGATACCCAGTGTTAGAATATATATTCACTTGCCTCAGCTGAGCTCAGGACTTCCCTCGCAAATCATAGGAGTTTACATACGAATTCGGCTATATGAATCGTAGGAGTGTACAGAAACCAATTACAATTTGTTGAATTTTCCTCAGAATCTTCACAAATCTCACTTACACATGTAGTTGACCATGTGCATATTTTCCCACCCCATTCCTGCCCTCTTACCCAGGAGCTTCCGCCAAGTCACATCATCATGGGGACCATTCCGACTGCATCTATACATCATAAACGACAGTGTGGCTGAAGGAAGACGTAATAACACTTGTTTTCGTCGCCTCAAACCATAGGGGCTTTCTACTGTGTGATGCCACTGGAATTCCTGCCAAGGTTTCATTGCCAACAGGCATCCCACAATCCGATACCGCTCGGGACATTCCCCGCATGCTTTGGTGGAAAATTAGTGACCGACGCATAGAGGAAAAAGAGAAACTCAGAACGTGGCCACTCGCATTCGGCTCCAGCAGGAGCCTCCACCTAAGGTAAACGGATTTCAAAGGTAAATAATAACGAGCCCGGCTCGTCGAGCCGGAGTGCTCACGCATCAGAAATTGTAGGTTTTACTCGAACTCAAATCTGAACGGTTATTCACACAAGTCGTATTATTCTCCCCTCTAACACTTATCCTACTTTCTACCAAATGTGTTCATCGTAGTGTTGTCCTAGCTAATACCACAGAGATGTCAGTAGCTAAGTGAGGTCACATCGCGGACCATACATCAAATCTGACCACCCTTATCGGCAATTATACTTGACGTTGTACTACGACTCTCAAAAACATACCACAACTATAACGGTGAGGTCCTCAACGTTGTGCCTAGAACACGAACAACTATCCCTTACAATAACGCCCAGTCAGGCGCTTGCCTCGGACACAGCCTCTACACTTGGTGGGGTCCACTTAATGTTGCCGAATGAAGCTGCTCCCGAGATCCCAAAGGCTCCCTTCCCTCCTCGGCCCTTATATCCACCATAGTAATATCCAGAATAACTCGGCTTATGATATGCACTAGAGTAGCCTCCAGCCCACGACGGGGAAAACGATCCCGTATAGTATCTATGAAGATTAAATCTGATATAAATAATAAAATGGAGTTTCACGTATGATATGAAAAACACTAGTGAAAAACATACTCCACAAACCACTGCATAGCGCGAATATCGGCTTTTCGCAGAAAATTACGCCACGTATCCTCATGTTAGTTCGTCTCATAATATCATATAATTAACCAATAGCTAACGCCTATACCTAGTGATATATCAAACGAAGGAGAACTCACAACCCTATGCATAGGTTAATGATAACGTCACAACAATATTGATAATAAATACGATAACATATATCCATAAATATATAATACAGTGGAGTTTCACCCGTTTAACGTGAAGTGTTGTAATACTCCATGTAACTTCTAAGGCGTGTAGGTCCTCGCAACCGACAACACAATATCTCCCTAGTAAATATGTTATTCACTAGTGTTTTTATATCACGGCTGAGTTAACTCCAGTGAGTTGAATCACAAGAAACCGTTGTCGCATAAGTGAGGACAACATGTAGTCCCGACTGCTACCCGGAAACCATCGCGCCTTTTCCTTTGCCCTTCCCTTTCCCTTTACCTCCCTTACCACCATATATACCAGATGTTGGCGAGTCATTGTACCGTACCTGATATCAAGTTTGTCGCGCGCCACAAAATACAGATATTCGCCCCTACAATTGAACGGTAAATCGCAAGGCTACAGGGTTCGATCTAAGGACGAAATCTCGCTCGCCCTCGGACACTTTCTAAGGAAGTTTATGCCATTTTCTAAGGAACTTCAGCCTTATTCTAAGGAACTTCAGCCTTATTCTAAGGAACTTCAGCCTTATTCTAAGGAATTTCAGCCTTATTCTAAGGAACTTCTGCCTTTTTCTAAGGACCTTCTGCCTTTTTCTAAGGAAGCCACCTCTCCACTAATAGGTCCTTCCGGCTTTGTTTTGCAGCTTAGCCTTGGATAACAACAGCCTTGCCTTGGATAACAGTTCGGGTTTCGGGTTGACCTGTCCGGCTTCGGGTGGGGTTTCGGGTTTCCCTTTCTCCGCTTTCACCTACAGTCCTTTCTTTTCTTTTTGGTTTTGCGGACCCCCTTCTACTACGCAATGCTTCTTAACCTTTCTCTGAAGGCTTATCAGTTGGTAGTTAATAATTGATACCTTTGCCGACTTCTTCAAATCTCGAAATCTTAGCTTTGATCGAACTTTAATAACGATAACTCAGCACTTTACGACCTTATATTATCGTTACCCTCCGCCTAGCTGAAGCTCGAGACTTCGGAATTCAGTTCCATACGCTACTATACAGACAAGTACACTGAAGGGTACCAAGAAAAGCCAATCGGCGGCTACCGTGCTGCTAATACGGTAAAGTGATAAAAATGGGCGAGCGAGATTGTTCCATTGGGAATGGAGATCTTCCTTAGATTTTACCTTTGAACCTTCGCCCTACTGTCTCAATGTGGAAGTTTATGTTTGATTTCCTCAGAACGGAACTCGTAAGTTACCTCACCATATTATGAAAATCCACACGATTTTGGGTAGGGGTGTACAAAAACCAACGATGATTTCTCATAATTTCCTCCGAATTTCCATATTTTTACCAACACATGTAGTTGACCATGTGCATATACTCAAATATAACTACCTTCTCGGGGCCCTTCTCAAAGTACCGGACACCCCCGGCAGGCTCCGCAGTGAGAGTAACCCAACCGAGCGGAGCCGGAAAACTCGGATGAGAGGGATGGCGGATTTGTATGCGAATGATACCACTTTGAAGCACCTGCGCGTGACATAATGAAGATTTGATAGCAATCACATAAACCATCTAATATTCTTCACTAATATAGTTGACGATAAATTGCCTCCGAATCATAACTAGAGACCACCAGAATTCTTACTATCCGTTGACCGCACTGTTCCACGATCTCGCCGTTGGTGATGGAGGCAACAGGAGCTGAGTCCGGCTCGCAAGTTGCCCGAACTAGAGCATCTCCTCGGATGGACCGCCACTTGTATCCATCCTCATTCCCTAAACAACATTGTTGCCCTTTAACGAATTTCAGTGTGAAAGAATATTCACATGCTCACCGACATGCGTTGGAGCCAATACGAAAATTCTGTAGAAATTTTGGGTAATCCTTCTTGTTAGTTTTTGAGTATTTGAAATACTCAAAAACTAACAAGAAATACTGTATTTCTACCCGAAGTCATGTGCAAACTCCTATAATATTGGAGAATCTACTGAGCTCAGGTGAGGGAAGCGAAAATATATTACAACACTTCTCGTTATTACTTTGCGGTGTCGTGACCGGCGGTACGTTGAAAGAATTCCGACGAGACTGCGGTTGTGTCGGAGGGGGTAACGGCGGAGGAGGAGGCTGCCGATTAGCGACCATCGAACTCCCATTTCGAGCCTGGGCCACATACCTGCGAGACCATGCCATGCCCTCAACATCATACGAATATTATCGCAATATTAAGTTGTTGATATCTATCTGGTTATTCTCATTTGTTAGTATATAATGGAATTTCACGACCGTGATATGAAAAACACTAGTGAAAAGCATATTTCACGACTACTGCATATCACCGCGAATATCGGGGTTTTCGCAGAGCATTACGCCACTTCACGTAAAACCGGTGGTGAAACTCCAATATATCACTAGATAATATGATATAAATATAATAAAATTCCTATAATATTGATTCCTACCCCCCTCCCAACTGTTGCTCAACTGGTGGCAGACCCCCAGGCTGGGGGGCGCGTGAAAGAGGGGGCCGATAAAGGGCTGGCGTCGGGGACCGAATCAAAGGACCAAGAGTGCCCTCTGCAGCGCTCTGACCAGGACAAGGACGTCTGAAACAATCAGCATATCAGAAGCAATAAAACAGAAAAAAAACCATCGTCAATTCCCCACCCATTCAGTGGGGCCTCGCCAAGTGACCTCTTCACAATTGCAACAGCCCTTTGGTTTAGCTCTTCCCGTCCGACAAGTCGAATGGGATTTCTATTCTCATCCTGGGTCCCTACAGGTGTGCATACTCTCTTGGCATTAACCGCATCAGCCCGCTGAGCGATGCCTCGCATTTCCCGACGCCTAAATGTTAGAAATGCCCTCACCGGGGATCGAACCCGCGTGTAACGCTTACGCTATCTTGCTCGGTCCATCTGAACTGCACGCATGCTCATCCTCCTCCACCCCTCTTTTCGTCCCGTTGGTGGTGACCTCGGGACACGACGAGCTCGCAGGGGCCTGCCCAGTGGCCGCTCGCAGCGCCTTTGAAAAAAGCCCACCACCTGAGACCAGCGGGAATCGCCAACAAGTCGCATTCCAAAAAACGAAATTCCTCATATGCGCTCACAGTGTTGGAGGAATATATGTTTGCTTTCCTCAGCTGAGCTCAGGAGTTTCCTCACTTATGAATTCGCATAGACGAAATTCCCAAAATTTCAATATTGTCATCGAAACATGTAGTCGACCATGTTCATAATTTCCCACACCGCCATCAACACATTTTTAGGTCTAATGTGATTTTCGGTATCCCCTGGTTCACACCTCGGGGCGGGGCTGCCTTCTTGGACCTTTTCACAGGGTGGGCCACGCCATGCTCCTCACAGTACTCGATCAGCCACTCCACCTGAATATCAACTCCGCAGACGAAGATTAGAAACACTCACAAAGCTCTCCGCGTTCTCCTGCAAGAACTGCTCCATCTCAGCCACCATCTCGCTCACTGTAGCCTGTGTTTGCAACACGCACGCTGCGTACCTGCACTCAGAACTTCTCCATAGGTTCGGGTCGCTCTCGAGGAAGGGAGTACGGGTACCCTACGCAGTGTACCGATACGAATATGTAAAACATTATCGACAACTTCAAGTGGTCCAGCGTGACAAGCAAAAGGGAGATAAGATGATGGCTGGAATAGCTGTAATACGGATCCTATACATATGGAGGATGAACAGTGGGTGACCTACTACTCCAATACGCCTGGCAGGACTTTCCTCGCCACATAGTACAAACTCATTAACGGTAGAATGAGTGTTCCCTATTCTCCCATATCGCATTTGAACAACAATCCATAAACACATTCTTCCTTACTCTGCCAGCGTCGCCCTATGCTCCTTAGAGGCCATCCCTTCTCCGTAGCTCATAAGCTGCTCCGTAACTGCTTCCTGAACCGCAGCCTCTTCTTCAGGGGTCAGGGCTGCTGATGACGACGACGAGGCCGACGCGGAGGTGGTGATGGCGTTAACGCGACGTGACGGTGCCGCCGATGCCCTAAGGCTTTCCTCAGCCGTCGGTCGCATCGTCATTAGCGTCGAAGCTGCAGCACCCCCCGAGTCACGTATCAAGTCACAACGCTGAAAACTCATGTAGTGGAATTGAAACCTTCCCTTTATGCTCAGAGCAGTGACTTACAGAACTCCCACTCGTGACAACTACTATAGGGAAAATAACAATATTGACGATTGACCTCACCTGGGACCACACAAGTGGCGTTTAAGAAGAGCGTAGGGAGTTCCCGATCCTTCTTCTTCCTCCTCAGCAGCAACAACGACAATCCTACTCTAATATAGAGCACCACGAGAGGGCTCATCGACTTGCCAGAATGTTTGAAAGAGACAGCGAGCGAAAAATAATAAAACATCACCAGTCGGCATACGGCGACAACAGGGCAAATATGTGGACGGATTGACGACGATAACAACAACAGCAGTAACCTCAGCTTCACGCGCCACGAAATTCGTTCATTACGAATTCACTGCACATATCCCATCGACCATGATGATGATGATCAACCATCGGCGCACTCTTCAACTCGTGATCAGGGCCTCGGGCGTCGAGGAGAGAGAAAGGGCACCACCAACATTCTATGTAAGAAGGGCCCTCTACACCATACCATACTGTAAACAGAAGTGATTTCAGCGGCGCGCGGTACGGCCCAGTTTCCCTTTCAGAATTAGCATCAAATGGCATCATCAAAAGGAGGATGAGTCGTGCAGTAAACCAACGTGAATGGTACTACTCCAAGTCGCTCACTTCTACAGTGGACGAGCGCTTGCAGAGATAAGAAGAACATACGTGTTGTTCAGAAATCAAAAACGGAGCTTCCCATAGGAGAGAACCACCAGAGTAGCCATCGTACTTGCAGTCGGTGAAACCATCAAACTCTCACATAGGAAGCACTGTTCGGCCAGAATACTATCAGCACATTTACAAAATATTTTCACAACGTAGACCCATGAGCCAACACCACCCCAGAGGGCACCAGCGCTCTTGACGAGCTGTCTTCAAAGAGACGGCGCGCGAGGGGGAAACTAGGGGGAATAGGACCCGCTTGCAATGATACACGCGTTCATAATAATAACAACCATGCTTGCCCTATTGACCTCTCGGGCGCCGAGGCTGAGTGCTGGTACAATGGCAAGTCTACAGCGTTTTCGAATATATAATGCTGTTAGTCATAATAAGGCAATTCATGAGTGGCCAAACCAGGTGCGCCCATTAATACAGCAAAACTAGATTTCACAATGTGATGATGATGATCATGGACCATACACTACTTATAGAATTAAGATCTGAACATGGAGTGGTATAGATTCGTGTCTCCACAGAGGAGTGATCCTACTTAGCCTTGACCACCACAGGGGTGCGACACCTTCCACACTGCCTTAGGGATCCAGCTGGGACGAAGTAAGCCTGAGCAACATAGGCTGTGAAACTTGAATGCCGAGTGATGTTTGCCACTACCGACAAGCCAAGAACCATCGGTCCTATTTTCGGGTCGACACCTATGATGTCCACAAGACTACTGCACTTCGACGATGACGCGGCAGCTGCGGCACAGGACGGCGTTGAGGACGGGAAGGAATTCACTAAAGTGATAACTCACTGATAAGACTACCACCAACTACCGATAATAATTGCAAGAATCCGTACAACAGATGTGTCACCAATTCGACGCGTTGTGTCACCAGAATCTCTCCTAGGAGCCTCCTTGGCAGCCGGTTGCTGCTGTTGCTGCCTATTCCGTCTCAGAGTGAAGTCACTCTGAGGTAGAGTGTCATCAACCAACAGCCGATCGAGCGTGTCGCCCTTCAACAGCCACTCAAGCTCCCGACGCTGACAAAAAATCATATATTCCCATACCACTCCTTCTCGAAATCATACTGGTGACTACCAGTTCAGTCGGTGTCGGTGCCGATGCGAATAGGCAGGTCCTGGCTTCCACGCCTCCTCGACGCAGCGCCTGGGCAACCGCGACATCTTCATATTGGTCGCCTATGAGCACCTGAGAGAGACCGCCATGAACACAATTCTCTTTCTCCTATTATGTGACACAGCGCGGTAAAACATGCGATTTTTGCGGAAATTTTTTGGGGAAAAAATTATTTTTCGCTGCTGTCGACCTCTATCCGAGTTAGCCTATATACTCCTATTATTAGTGAGGAAACTTTCCCTCGCTCAGCTGAGGAAAACGAACATATATTCCTCCAATAGTCATACCACTCTTCGGGGAACTGGTTTCAAAGTCGGCACTATCGAGAGCACTGTCGCGAGCTTGGTCGACTTCAAGCCCTTGTCCTCAGAAAAATACAGTCTGCGGAACTTCCTACTAATTACCGACAGTTCTCGACAATATCTGCCAAAGATTCCTCCTCCACCACCGCACGCGGAAGATTTTCTTCCTACTCTTTAGAATGCAATATAGTGACCTTAGCGAGCAAGGGCACGACCCTGGGCATGTACAGTTGACACGATTCGTGCACCCACCCCGGAGAACTGCTTGTGAGTATGAATACATACGGGCTTGCCAACACTATCGCGCGCGACTAACACCAACGTGTGCACGCCGAGAGGGCAGGCGGGGTTAGTCTACTAGGACTTCAATGACGATGTTCTGTAACTGTCCTAGGGACTCTTCTGAGCCTGTCGAATCCAGATTGCCCTCAGCCAAGAACGTTGATGGTAGAATGGTGTCGTCCCAGTCGCAAATCTGAGGTATATAATCGTTTCACTATCCCTCACCGTTTTACGACCAATCGACACACAGGGGCGAAAACGTCACAGACTCCCCCCACCCGGGACGTACAATCACAGGTGGGCCGCAAGACTCCGCCTGGCTATCTCGAATTGTGATGTTTGCAGTAGGCAAAGACCCACAAATTGCCATTTTGAATTCTACTATTTGAGATTTGCGCAATCGGTGCAAAAATGGTAAAGCCGAATCGCTTCGCTCCGCTGTGACACGTGCAAGGAAGATGATGGGTACGACGTATCTTAGTGGTCGCCATTGAAGATTCAAAACAGGTCCGTCTATGTACCACTGGTTTGTCTCTGTAACAGTCATTCACATTCTGTCATGTCGAAGGAAGAGCGACCATCTGAAGAAGTAGCGCCACTCGACGGCTCCTTTTCATCAGCTTCAACGGACGTTGGTCAACGACACACTTTACAGGTGATTTCATATCCCCTACCGAAGATGGCTGAAAAGGATGCCCAACTCGCTGATGAGTTCTTGAGGTACGCTAATTCTCCGACTAGGTAGTGCTCCGCATGCTGGTGCTCTCAGGCAACTAGATGCTAAGGCCTCTAGTACCGTTTTCGACAGTCCCCATCGGTGCTCTAGGACTGCCGACCGGAAGAGGAATCATGGGAGAAAACGGTGACACACATGATGAATTGAATCCGATGAAGTCATATAACTGCTCAGATCATCGACCACTCGGCCGAGTAGTTTACAATCCCTCACCTTGGAAGTGGAGACCATCGATGAGAAAATCTCGGAGGCTCGGAAGATGGGCCTCCTGAGCGATCCAAATGTTGGGAAAGCCACCGCTGTAAGGTCAATGACAATTCTCTCTCTTTACTCAGCGTTGGAAAAAATGAGATTTCCTCGTTTCATCTCAGGCTGGTCCTCCCGACGTGTTAGTGAATCTGACTAGGGACAGAAGCTTGACCACGCCCAACAGCGCCAACTACCTTATGACGCCTCCAAGCCTTATGGACTCTCCTACACCGGTAGTATACCGCATTCTCATCGAATCACTACTGACCGGTCCCCCAGGTCCTCCTTCATGCCAAGGTCATTCGTTTCCTATGGGCATGGATTCCCCTGGGGAGTTACAGACTCACTTACTACCCCGCTGGGAAATTTCTCCCGTAATAAGGACGAAGTGACGCACATTGTGTTATGAATTCTGTCAGATCCTCTCAGTTGACTCCTGTGCGGTTCAGTCCGCTCTGGGGACAGCAAAATGATGCTGCCTCCGAAGGCGTCATGGTAGCAATACGCCTATGACATGTGCATAGACTTGATGTTATCCCGATCAGCCCAATAGCGCCTTCAGCAGGAACACTTCTACTGGTCGGCAGGGTAGTCGGAGCGTATGGAGTCGCCATGCTGACCGCTTGCTCCTAGCTGTACGTTTATGATCCTATTCCGTCGTTTGAGACTGTTCTTGGTGGCTCGGTTCGCCGGAGTAGGCAGTGTTGTGAAATATGTCTATGGTCAACCACATGTGTTGGTGAAATTTTCGTAAATTCTTGTGCACTTCCACCCGAATTTTTTGGTGAATTCTTGCACTTTAGGAAATTCCTGAGCTCAGCTGAGGAAAGCGAACATACTTTCTCCGGTAGTTCGTAATGTGAAAGTGTCTTTCAATTCGAATGGAAAAATGAACTCTCTCACGCTCTCCGGAGACGCACTTGTACATTCGTGGGTGGAAAATTTGGTCAACTCTGTTATCTCTGAGGCCTTCCTTAGTAACACCTGATATCAATGTGTTGATTACAGTTCTACCCGTGGTATGAAAAACATATTTTTCGACTACTGCATAGCGCGAATATCGCGTTTTACACCGAGTTTCACGTCACTTCGCGTAAAACGGGTGAAACTCCGTCATTGATATTAGGAGAGCGTTTATATATACACAGTCTGCATTAGTAATAAAGATATTCAGGTTGATAATTTTGTATGGTGGTTTAGGTCACAGAAAGCTACCCGTCGTTTGGCATCGACAGGTTGACATCTTCTGGCGCGCCCTCAGAATTCTACCGAGGGGAACATACGACATTCGTGGCTCGGCGGCGTCCCTTGTCACTCTCCGCTCAAACAGTTCTGGGTGTTCCCCTCGTCTCAGCAGTGTGGGCAGTAGCGGTGTAGGAGGTCGTCGGAAGTGACCGAGTTGGGCTCATCTGGTCAAAACTCAGGACTTTCACGTGGCCGCAATTCTTATCGATCCCTCGAGCGTTCAGCGGATCCGAAACGGTACTTATAATATGGCTAGTCGCCCTAGTCTTATGGATAATAATATGCACCATTCACATCTTCTTGCTGAGACCAGTAGTGACCCTACTGCTTCTGCTTGTCTATTGTCATTTCCAATCCTTTAGTGGCAAGTTACCTGTTGCCGCGGTCGTCGGATAGTTATCGAGACTCGCTGGAAATCGATAGCTACCAGGTTGGTGGAGCTCCTCAATTCTCCTCCACCAATGCCGATGCCCGGGAAGTCTCCTTCACCATTGAACCCCCTACCTCGAGATGACTTCAGACAAGTAAAGGCCGGTCTGCTGTGGCCCGTCCAGTATTCTTTTCAGTGGAAGTCATTGATCTCGACGATCTTCGTTACAGTGGGCTTCATATGTCTATTGGTCACCTGTATCATGACACTAGTCATGTACGTGTTCCTTTACTTCTTATTATCAACTGCTCAGCTCTCAGGTACAAACAATGTGTTGAATGTGGAGGTTGTAACCCGTCTAATCCTGATGGACGATTAGTCTATCCTGATCCAGCGTGCTATGACTACTATATCGATTGGATACCAGGTGCCACAACAGACGGCAGTGGTCATCTACCGACCCCTCAAACTCGTCCATGGTTTCCAGTAATGAGCGACGGCATATGCCGACTATGATAACTCTCCAGTTAGCTTCTCGTTTAGGTCCCAACCTCGCCGCCGGCTCAGCTGGCAACTTGACCTTGTAACCTTTCAAGTGTACATTGATAACGCTGTGTTCATATTTCGTCAAGCAACTACAATCTACATTGCCAGTGCTTGTTTCTCTGAGCATCAATTTTCACTATTTGCATAGTCGCCTTGAATGACTATCACCCCACAGTTGCTTCTCTTGCTGCCCCCCAGTGTTGTGCACACAGTGATCATTCAGGAAGTGAAATAGTCTGATGGAAGAAGTGACATCTTCGTTTCTTGCCGCCAGTAGCTTTCCGTTTGGGAATACCCTAGGATTCGGCAGTAGGAGCCATACTAACTCCATTGCGTTTTCCGTCTCGTTTTTCTCCTCCTGAGCTCATCCCCATCTCGTACACAGACCCTCGTCTAGATAACAGACATACTTCATATACCGTCATGGTGGTCATACATCCAGTCCGCTTCAACATAAGAGCTCTTCACAAGATTCGAACCAACGACCGTCAGCATAGGAACTATGCGCTCTACCATTAGACCACTCTAGTTACATGCAATCCAAATGTCGCCATTCTCGACCACCGACTCCTTGGTGTATTTGCTTCTTCTGCGAGCATTTCGGCAACCTCATCCTCTTCTCGGCAATTTCATCCGATGGAAATGAGTTCAACTCGTCATCTGAGCGCTCGATTTCAAAATGCACGGGCACGACATAGATTCCATCAGGCACTTCGCTTCGCCTCGTTACTCATTCGTATCCGTCTGCACTACATTTAACGAGACTCACTGCCCACGGTCCCTCTTCAATCACTTGTGATGGGTTTAATGCGAATGGTCTACCACTTCAACCCAGCAACTCCCATCGCAGGCCCCAATCGCATCATCATCATCATCATCATCATCCAACTCTACTGAGTTATTCAAGGCCAGCTAGTGCTCTCTGTCCAATTTGGGCACTTGTCGTCTGTTATCATTTAATCATTCAGGGGGCCAGCGAGGGCGCTTGGGGTAATACCACCAAGTCTTCATCCATCTCAGCTCGAAGGCCACACCCTCTCCCCCCGACTTGGAACTTAACACGAGTATCCCATACTGTAATGCTGGCTCTAATATAATTGTAAGTGTAGGTCGTTCTAATGGTCATGTAGACGTGCTCACTGAGGAGGTCGACTTGTCGCCGCTTGCTGTCTATGCAAAGATGCGTAGTACTGCTGCCACGCTGCGGCCAGACCATAGGCACTACCATAAGCAGACGAAGATTCCTGAAGAGACATGTAGTCCTCAAAGGCAAAACTGAATCATACCCCTGACGCTCCCTGACCACGTGCTGCTTGTGCAGGAGGTGAAGGGCCCCCAGCTGGTACAGGGGACTGCTGAGGAGTCATGTATCCCTGGGCTGGCTGCTGTCGCTGGAGTAAACATCCACCATATTGCTGCGAGTAATAGCCACCACAAGGACCTACGATATCAACAATACCAATCACAAGGTATTCGGGTGCACAGACCTCCAGCGTATGGAGGTGGCTGTTGCTGGTACTGGGGCATCATACTATTCCCAGCGCTGTAGCCTTCTATCTGGGGTTGCTGCCAAGGCTGGCCAGGAGGTGTCGAATGAGCCTCTGGTGGTCCACCTTGCATACCATAGGACCGAGCCGTGGAAGGAGGACCTTGCTGCTGCATATAGGGCTGTGGGCCTCCACTCCCCATCCGTCCACGTGGAGCACCATCACCACTCCCAAACAGGTAAGGTGGGAGACCATTGGCCGGTGCTGCCTTCACTACGTGAGCGCCCTGACACAACTACCTTCCGAGACCATCGACTCCATAAACCTTACCGCCAGTCTCTCGTTGATGAATCCAACCACAGTTATGATCCCATCGTGTGGCCCCTGAAGGGACACTTCTCGGTACGGGCCAGCGCCACTCTTGGAAATCTGTATATCGCAGCGACTGTCTTCCTTCAACCGATTGATGACCTCCCCACCACGACCGATGATGGCTCCAACACCATTGAATGGAACCTGATAGTAATAATACACGCCAATCACACTCCTCACGATAAAACGATGGGACGATTCGCGCCTGTTACGGTATGGCTGAAGCCACTGTAGATGTGGATATAGCTGGCATATAAAATCGGTTGAAAAACGGATATCGCTGAAACCGAAATTATTCTGCGAGATCGTAGCTGTAAACAGTTCCATCGGATTCACGCGAGACCTGACGAGCCTCGAAGCCAACGTGCAATACACATCAGCACTCGTTCGCCTCTTATCACCTCGAGTATGCAGAAATCAGCAGCAGCAGCAGCAGAGTTGTCGTTCCAGGCACCCTCTCCCCCACCCTTAATAGGGCCTCCGACTCTGCTACCACCAAAACCACCCCCACGTTGGTAACCCGCATTATAAGAGTTATCAAAACCTCCTCCCTGGTGATCGTCGTAGTCCATCCTACGCCGTTTGGTCTCATCGTAGGATGGAGTCGAGCTGAGCCTCTTCTGAGATCGGACCTCCGGGTGGTCAACTTCATATTCAGAAATCAAGTCCGCGCAGGTAACCGTGCCAGCCACAACCTAGAACCAGAATATCAATACCCTCCCTATGGTTTCCGCACCCACCTTGTTAACCAACTCCTCACATTTATTCACAGCCCCCTCAGTGCCAACACAATTTACAGTTCGGGGCATGCCCCTAGTAGACCCGTGGTACTCAGCTGGTGGTACGGCCTGCTACAACATTTTAGTTTAACCTGACACGCTTCGCTCCGCCTGCTATATTACCTTAATTTCGAGTCGAGCTCCGGAGCGCTCTTTGATCCTGGTCAAGGCGACGCCCTGTGGTCCGAGCACTTCCGAGACCTTGCTGTCTGGAATTTCAAAGAATCGTTGAGTTTCACCATCCTTGGGCTCCAGCGGAGATATTTTCTCACGAATGGCGTCAACTGCAGCCTAAATTTAGGGAGCCAAACCGAATAGAAATACCCCCCAGTGAAGTAAGTGACCGACTTGCAGCTGCTCCTCACTCTGGGCATCAACATAGAAAATGGTATAGCCCTGCTCACGCGTCGACTGGTCGCCCTAAGAGCCAAACGAATGACCCCAATTGAAAATTTGCGGGAAAATTGGTACGACAGCGTGCATGAGCACTGAGAACCGCTGGAAATAACGCAGCTCATTTCCCATGAAACGTAAAATATCCTCTGGCCGCCGACGGTGACATTCCAGGCCAATAGAGATTGCCAACACTAAATGCCCAGCAGCATAACTTCTTCACATAGCGTCACTAACCACAACAGGTGACCTCGTTGAGTTCATATCATTAACCCCAGTTCAAAAGCGTTCGCCATTCAGATCCCCCATATTCATCCGCTTGCTTTGTTTTGGCGCACCCTTCAGTGGCCCTGTCCAACTCCTTGAGCCATCTCAGACCCTGTTTGCCGTCCTTGGGAAGATTCTCAGACCTCCGGAGCTGCTGCTGCTGCAAACCTCTGATATGATCACTGCATAAGGGACCAGCACTCATCGACCAGCAGAGACCCCATGTAATCCGAGGCCGCCTTCTGAGCCATCACTGTGAGTTCCTATATCCATATTTCTTGTTGCTCATTTCCGCGTAGGTGACGCAAGGCTAATGATATAGAAATACGGCGTGTCAACAATCGTTACTTTGGAGAATATCTCGACACCCAAAACACCCCCCTGGCACTACGTGAATATTGGCTCCAGTGAGCTGCTTCAAGTCACTTATAGTAGCGCCTCGTTTGCCAATAACCATCGAGACCAACTCCTGAGAGACCTCTACTTGCTCACGATACGGACCAGCATCAGGACCGAACTCAAACGCCTTGCTGGGGTTACCTACGAGAAGGGTATACTGCATTCAGCTTGTTAAGTAGTAGTACCCCTAGGAGCGGTACGGGGCCCTGCAGGCTTCTGCTGGACGCCACTGACGGCCGGTCCTTCCTGCTGCATAGTTGCAACAAGGGAAATATAAAACTTCGCGGTCAAGATCGAAAATTGAGGAAATGCAAGTAAGAGCAAGATTGCAAGATGACTAAAACTCAACGCCTTTTCTCGGTGAACACCATCAACAGCAGCAGGAAGGACAGTGCTTACAGGGCGCTGAAATATGACAATAGGCGGACGCTTAACAAGAACAGGCGATGACTACCAAAAACCTTTACCGTAAAAACCCGAACTATTCAGAATACGTCGTTGCCGAGCGGTCGATGGAGTCGTTCGTTGAATTCTCCACAACATGGAGTCTACATATGCCTTGGAAACCTCCTTACTGTCGAAGGGGGCTATCGTAGTCACTATCACAGTGCTGGGGTGTGCCCGTGGCCAGAGGTGCGCCCACAGAGGTCTTATTAGAATGCGCATTCTTCCTACTACTACTCGCCCCGATACGTGATGCCCTAGCATTGACCATTGGGACCACTCCACTGAGCGATTTGGAAATTATATGGGAACCGCCTTGGGAGGGAGCGTTGAGAGTAGCCATGCTAAAGTTGTCGCTCTTCGTCGAAAGGCTATCCCTCTTGGGCTCGGCTCCAGGCGGTTCGGTAGCTCTCATGTCCACCGTGGACTCAGCGAGCCCCACGGGGTCCTCATACTTACTGTCCAACCGCATCCCTTTCTCGTGAGGAACACCATCTCTAATTTCCTTCTGACCGCAACTATCATTCTGGGGTGGGTTTATCAAGCAGTCTGGAGTCGTCGAGTAGTTGCTCGATTGCATCGCCTCACGCGCAGCGGTGACACTCGCGGGGATTTGCGAAACCAGAACGGAATCTCCTTGGTCGCCTCCTGAGCCCTGGCTGCCTGCCTGTGTCGGGGCGCGTGTTTCTCCTCTATGAAGACTTTCCGAAATTGCCACGCTTTCCATGAAGTTGCTCGCCAAGGCGGCCATGCTAGACCCGAAATTCGAGAAAACACTTTCCGGCTTTTTCGACGTAGCGTTGCCCGGTTGTCCCCCGAGGTGGCCCGTGTCACCAGGGCCCTCTTCGCTTGAGAATTCTCCAGAAGATGATGACACCGGAGTTGCAACAACATCACTTTCGAGGTGATTGCTGAGTGCCGATCTCAGGTTGACTTTCGAGGCACTGAAAATATGGTTTTCGCTGTCACTTGTGGTTTCACAACTGTAGTCATCAGCCTGGACCGAACAGACAGGGGGAGACTTTCGCCTCATTTCAAGACTCCCACGCGGATTGTGGTCTGCCTCCAGAGACTCCTTAAGGAAGGGTCTCGCTGCTGGCCCCCGGGGAGAAAACTCAACGGCTCTATTGCCGAATTTCTTCCCTCTACTGCTGCGTTTTAGTGACTTCGACAGAGAGTCGATGAAGAAGCGAGACGCATAATGGCAATATACCGAGTTTAGAGTCTTGCGGGCCACGTGGGATCGTCTCGGCCCTGCCTTATGGGTCGGCCCCTTCGGGTGAACCGATTTGGGAACCTGCCGGTTGTTCGAGACTTGTCGCTCATCGGCAGCACCAATGGCATCCACGTTGGATTGGGGCAGTCGACTCAGACCAACAACCAGCGGCATACTGACTAACTGTGGCGGAGTATGGACCCCTTCGGTGACTGCTAGGCCGCCCGAGGGTAGCTGCTCTGATTGGCTCATCACTGGAGAGCCCTCTCTAGGAGACGATGGTCTCGAATTCTCTACTGGCATCCCTACTGACGTACCCCCTTCCTCCAGCATCCCCAATGACGTGTCCCCTTCCTGCGGCATCCCCAACGACGTGTCCCCTTCCTCCGGCATCGCTACTGACGTGCCCTCTTCCTCCGGAATCCCCAATGACGTGCCCCCTTCCTGTGTCCTCCCCAACGACGTGCCCTCTTCCTCCAGCCTCCCCAACGACGTGCCCTCTTCCTCCGGAATCCCCAACGACGTGCCCTCTTCCTCCGGAATCCCCAATGACGTGCCCTCTTCCTCCAGCCTCCCCAACGACGTGCCCTCTTCCTCCGGAATCCCCAATGACGTGCCCTCTTCCTCCAGCCTCCCCAACGACGTGCCCTCTTCCTCCGGAATCCCCAATGACGTGCCCCCTTCCTCCGGCATCCCTAACGACGTGCCCCCTTCCTCCGGCATCCCCAATGACGTGCCCCCTTCCTGCGCCCTTGTTATCATCGTAGAGGACACCGAGGGAGTCCTTTCCGTTGTAATGCCCCCGACCACTGCGGTCGTCTGAGGCGAGGCGATACGGTCCTTAACACGCTGGTGATGCTGTATTCGAACCGTATTCTCCCTCTCTGCCGTAGCGCACGCCCTCCGCACCTCCTGAACCCTCAATTCTCTATATTGGACATAATGAGCTGCCCAGACATGAGCTTTAGGTTGGTCGCCATGAACATCACCGCTCCTGCGTGGTCGACTGTGACTACCCAGAGGCCGTCCGCGACCAGTCGAGGTAGCACTCTTGCCTTCACTCGATGCACGCGACTTGCGACGAGGCTTATGGACCACTAACCTCGGCACAGCTAAAGGCTTATCATAGCAATCCCGGCCTCGCTTCGGCATCGTCAATGGGGCCATCTCGGTCTTTACTCCTGGCCGTTGTGATGGCGTCGGAGGAGGTGTTATTGAAGCCTTCTCGCGCGCCTTTAGAAGACGGCACGTTAAAGCATTCAGGTAGCGGTCGATGACGTCATCCAACCCCCTGAAATTGAATATTCTTGAGTAGACCGATACGAGGGAGAAAGAAAGAGCCCACCTGGCGTGCTGACATGTGGAGATTATTTCAGGGATTTTACTCTCCTCCAGCCTCCCCATCGACACTCTACTATTGAGGGCCCTCAGGATCGACCTCAGGGCAACTCGGAAGGTGGCCTCTGCCTGATGTGGGTGAGAAGTCGCGGTGATTGCCGATTCAGAAATGGCGTCCTTCCTAAACATAAATGAGCTCTCTGGCTAGATAGACTGTGTTAGGACGAATACTCGCATGAGCTCTCATGAGTTTTCCGAAGCATCTCGTTGAGTTTCATAAGTATCGTCTCCCGCTCAACTACCCCTCCAGCGAGGAGGATATGAGCGCCGACTTCCTTCGCCAGCTCTCGGGCAAGCATAGATCGATCTCGACGAGGCGGAGCGAAGGACATCAGAAGACACACAAACAACTTTGAGAGGCTCCGAGTATTTCTAGAGCTTTATGTTTGGTTTCCTCAGCTGAGCTCAGCAAATTTCTCGTTATAGAGGCTTACATGAAAATTTTGGTATAAGTGTATAGCAACCAATTTAATAAACAAGAGCTCCTCCTGCCCATCACGATAACCGTGTTATGTTCTTCCATGATTAAAAACAACGCATACCATGCCAACCACAAAGATCCCATGATTGAATTCCACGAGCAAACAGATTCGACAACGTGGTTTACCGCCTCGTAAGTGACCCCCAACATTCAAGACGATACTCCTCTTATTACAAAGTTGAATAACTCACAGCCTACTAAGATTGAGCTTATCGAAAATTTGCTAGCATACCCCCTTCATCACAAAATCATACACTTGGCGTTTTCTGCACCCGTCTGGTAGCTGTGGAGCGATAACCATATTGAGTACGTTGATGAAACTATGCTGTACATAGTAGTAGCGCTATAGTATAAAACGCGACTCTCTTCTGTGAGTCATAACAACAAGCAATGCATATGAAGACCACAGGCATCCGGAATTATCAAAATACTGCTGAAGCAACTATCCGGTGGGCGTCGAGTCTCAAGACGGTATCATCAGCAACACATACCACTCCTTTTGCATTTTCTCGCTCCAGCTCTATAACGATTCTTGGCCTCCTTTTCGGCTTCGGTTTCGATACCAGAAATGCCTGGACCAAAAATTACAAATTTTACTCAGTGGAGTTTCACGACCGTAATATGAAAATTTTCCGACCTCTGCATAGTGCGAATATCGCGTTTTTCACAGAGTTTTACGCCACTTCACGTACATTAGATGAAACTCCACTGTTTAGAGAGAGACGCAAGACAACTCGAAAGTTCTTAGGAGCTCATATAAGCCTAAACCCGAGCCTCTACTACCGTAAGGATTCCCAAGTCCTCCTCCATCATAGTAGTTGCCATACGGAGTGCCCCCATTGCCAACAGTCGCATACGTAGGATAGGCCCTTTTCGTAATAGTGTTCCTCCCACTGCACGTCAAACACTCACCCGTATATCGCTGGAGCGTGCTCAATCTGTCGCTGGTCTAATGCATGTACAGACCCAGCCTGCTCGACGTACACGTATTGGGCGCTGAGACGGAGTTGCATTGATCACAGACATCGAAGAAAACTACCGATATTGATCATCGGAGCGTGGCGGTTTCGATGGGTCATGCCTTTTACTAAACACATGTAGGAATTCTACTCTTTACTCAATAACAATACTACCTCGCACCGATCGTCCGATCCGCAGCAGCAGCACTAGCAGAATTTTTCATGGGGGGAAAATTCAACTAACTAAGAGTGACTTCAATATGCGCTGATTGGGAATGTGAAGGGAATAAGAGCAGTAGAATTGCATGTACTATCCAGCCCACGAGCCCCCAGCTGCACACTCTAGGCATTCTCAGCCAGACTTAAGGAGCGTATTTTTTTCTTAGGCAAATTAAAAAAATCTGTGTTTCTCGTTAACGAATCAGAGTTTTGAGCTGAAACTTCAACAGGATATACTCATTATCATGGTACATCACATGTTGAGTCGAAACGGTCATGTTCGGAACGGTTACTGATATATCATGGCGAGCGAAATAATCACCCCCGCGAACCGTGCAGATTCCTTAGGCAACACAACAGAACCTTAGTCCTAATTACATGATTGCCTCTATGGATTATATCATTGATAAGATATTGTTATGTCCCTTTTCATGCGATCGCCCTGAGATATGTAATCCACTCAAACTGTGATAAGCTAAGCTAGATATTTCCGTGTTTGCAATCATAGATGGATTATTATTAAATCTCTTATCAACTCCTTCATTGCTATGTCAAGTTCCCCTTCCCTAGGGTCACAGCAATATAAATATACAATAGACTAACCTGATATTTATTACACATTATTACAAGTCGATTTTTAGTGGAGATAGTGGAAATTTCAAGCGCGCCAAGTTGCCAACCTTGCCAAGCCCAGGTCTACCACCAATAACGAGTTTCGATTGCCAAAATCGAGATGATGTCGTCCACTCCCCCGTGAATAGACACTGAATTCCCCAAAATTTTCACCAAATTTTCATTTTGTATACCACACATGTGGTTGATCATGTGCATATTTTCCCACTCAGCCACCCGAAATAGTAACCGTACCTGATGGCGAAGACTCAATCGCCATTCTCAATATCGTAAAGCCTTTCCGAAGAGAGTCTCTTCAAGAGACGTAAAATAAAAAATATATTTTTCATATATTAACCAACGCAACAAACCCTGTTGTAGTCGACACATACTGCTCAGCAGTTCACTTCGATGAAGTAGTACTCGCCAATTCTCAACCACACTAGACCCGTACAGAATTGGCGTACAATATCATCACAACAGTAATCGTATAAAGGGAATAGAACCAGCAGATTCAACTCGAATCGCTCTTCAACACAGTCACCACCCTTAGGGCGGTGACTGATGTGGTGACAGGATGAGAAAGACGACCTATTGAGGAGCGAACGAGCTGCAGAGGCCAGCGCCCTTCTCAGTAGCAGTGGAGGCAACAACAAGACCAACAATGAGACCGTAAAGGCCCAAAGCTTCAGCGAAGATCAAAATCAATATCATCCCCACGAAGAGCTTGGGCTGCTGGGCATTAGCACGAACACCAGAGTCACCGACAATACCAATTGCCAACCCGGCGGCTAGGGATGAGAGACCAACAGTAAGACCCGCACCTACCATTGAAAAATCAAAATACTTATACTCTCAGATTTACCACTTACCAAGATGGGCATAGCCAGAATACTGGGAATAGGTAGCGGGAGTATCCATTTTACCGTTAATGATAACGGAGGTGATAAGACCGTAGATTCCCAACACACCTGCCATAACCACAGGGATGATGGAACGCATCACCAGGTCGGGCCTCATCACGCCCATGGAGCAAATACCAACACCAGATTTGGCAGTACCTGGACAGCAGAGTTGAATCAGACCGACTAAAGATAGGGAAACTCACCGTAGGCAGCGCCGAGGTTGGCGAAACTGATGGCAGCGGTGATACCCATGAAGCCGAAGAAGGCCGAGCTGGGCTCGCAAGCGGCGAGAGCGGTGGATGCGGCGAACATGTTAACAATAGCAAGAAAAAACTTCTACTAAAAAGAGACTATTTTCCGAGGAAATACAAGCCCAACACAAAACTGAATTTTCACAAGAACCATGCATCTATGCAGGTGCTTCTGCAGTTGAGCTCCCGGCTTGCTGAGTATCACTCTGATGAAAATCTATTGAGACTCAATACCAAAAAACCTACCCCTTCTGAAGAGACTGGTTGAGGTGGTTGAGAATTACGTTCATCATAATCGAGATGGAACGACCTGGCAAAAAGGTAAAAACTCCCCGGGTTAGCACTGATTCCACCGGCCTTGCTGCCAGTCCTCCTCCACAACGGGAATAGTGTGCATCAGACCTCTCCATAGATCTTCACGAGCCGCTGCTGGAGCCAAGCCAACCCCTTCAGAATCTCGCAACGCGACGACAAGACACGAAAAAAGGCGAACGCATCCACCCCTTACAGAGGTAGGCCCTATCGGGGAGGCGCAAGAACTTGACGATCTGAATAGTAAAAAATAGACTAAAATGCTCGACAGTCGCGAACCTTTTCTTGCAGGTCCCTAGTGTTGACATCAGGCACAGGCGTCTCGAGAGAGTGACGACCACGGCGGGAAGGGGCAGCTCCCTGCTGAGTGGTCGAGGAGAAGAAGAACGACTGAGGGAATTGTGAAGGAACGGCTTGGGACATGCCTTGGCGAGCTACGGCTAAAGTGATAAGCTGAATAGTGGAAACGGGATGAACTAATTGAGGAAATGCAAGTGGTCAAGATTTTCAAGTTAGACACTCACGTGGCCCGCAAGACTCTAGACTCGTCGGTCGAATGAGAGCGACGTTAATTAAGGGCAGTAGCCTTAGAGCAGAAGAACGTGATTGCTGTATCATGTATTGCTCGTTATTAAGGACCGTTTCAATCGACTGGTCGCAATGTTGGTGCAGAGCTCTTCCTCGAT